GGAACACTTCTTGTTTTTTTGACCATGACACTCTGTCAAAAAAGTTGCTGTGGTCATGCTTCGCCGATACGAAGAAGCAGCGTATTCCACGAAAAAGTTTTGGTTCCTCAAAATGTACACAAAAACGTGGCAGCAGATCGTTTGTAAAAGGAATGGTCACAAAATGATGGGTTTTATTTTTAGAATGTGTGTTATTCGGGAATGTGTCAATCTCAACCATGTTTAAGGAAAAATAAAAAGTATAAAAAGACAACAAGCTCAAAGCTTATGGAACACTCGTGGATGAGAGCCACAAACACACTTATAAAATGCATTCTGTGTTTTAAAGAAGAAGATAACAGCACAGCAACTGATATATTAATATGTGATGGTCCTGGTGAGGTGCAATTGGGAAATGTTTTCGGTAATATTTCGGACCAAACAAGACACAATTTATCGGAGTTCAAAATTACTGAGTATGATTCAGAAACTGATTCTTGGAACATTTTTAGTAACAAAGAAGGACAAGACGCTGAAAAGAATGCAGAGCTATTTACGTGCAAAGATGAATGTATTGCTTATAATCCTGTTTATAAGTATTATGTGATTCACATTCCGATCACAAAACAATTGTTCGTGAAAGTCATAGGTCTAAAAGCATATGACGAAGTGAAATATTCCAGCAAAGAATTTTACGACATAATTGAACATCTCATCATTTTTCTTGATGATAATTCGTTGATTCTACGTGCATTTGCACAGCAATTAATGGATAATCCTCAATTGTGGGGTCAGCTCAAGGAAATAAACCAAAAGAAGGCTTGTAGTGAGCAAAAAGCTAGTCCTATGGGTCGCAATCGCTTTGAAGCAAATCTGCTCAATGTTATGTTTACAATAAATGATATAACCTACCTATCAATTGCAGATGACCAAAAAAGGATAGCATTCATTTCCAGGGATTACAACAATAGAGGAAGATTACCTGTGTATGTCAGCATCCGCAATCTGGACAGTTTGTTTCTAAGGCAGTCTATAATTATGAACGGATACTTTCTGATCAAAAACCACAGTAAGTTGTTCAAAAAGTACAGCAAATCGATCATTGATCACGGTTTGAATGTTGAGGTCGATTTTTCAGACATATTTTATGACAAAAGGAAAAAACATGGTATGAATAAGAAGCGTTTGGCTCAGATTATCACAAAAATTCTCAACAAAGCAATTAAGTGTAAGTTTATGACAATGTGTTCTGTCGAAAAGTGCATATTTTGGTTCAAAGGGATCCAATCTGATGTAGATTTTGATGTACAGTCTCTGATAAAATATCACATTCATTTTGAGAGCTGTGCTTTTGTAAAAGACACCTTCCTGCCTACAAATTTGAAAAAGTTATGGATTTCCGACTCAGTGATTTATGACTGCTTGCTTCTGCCCGTTGGATTGGAGGAGCTGTATCTTGAAAATGTTGATATAGTAGAAAAAAGTAAAATAAATGTAGGGAAAGCGTGTAAAATATTGGTTCTGAGGAACATTAATGGCGAAATCGACATTCCTTGTATTACAGAGATTTTCCATGTCCAGTACTGTGATAATTGGACACTTGAAGTACGCAAAAACGAGAATAACACCATTGAGAAGTTGCACATGGTGAATATGATGTTCAAAACTACTGAGATAGGCTTATGTTATGACATAAAAACGGTCTACATGAAAAATGTATCGCTATTGAATGGGTGTGTTATGATACTGCACGGAGGTATGGAGCACGTAAATCTCTGTAACTTCACAGGATCTGTACAAATTCTGGACATTTCACATCACGATCCATGTTTGGTCCGTCTTGCTTTAGGTACATGTCAGTTAAAAAGAATAGGTGAAAAGAGGATGCTGGAGTTGACACTGTCTGAAGCGGATTTAATAGGCACTACGAAGTTGAACGAAAATATCTCAGGCATTAGTATGGATAATGTCAGTATTATGGATGGATTGCATCTTAAATTGTGCAGCGAGGTAAAAAATATCTGCTTTAAGAATTGCATCGGAACAGTTTACTTCAAAGATTGGCCGTGTTTCGAAATAATTGAATTCTCACGGTACAGTCCATACAGTGTAATCAAGCAGGTATTTCATGTTGTAAAGTCCGAGACTAAAACTGTTGATCGATTGGTTATAACCGATTTTCGCTTCGACAGAACAATACGCTTTGGATTGGAAGTGAAAGATATTGAGCTAAAAAATGTACTGTTCTCGCAAAACGGTGTTTTAATAATAGATGAAGGCTTTCAAAAGCTCACTATAACTCGATGCAGAGGAATGTTTCAGATTCCGGGTGTCTTTACTGAGAACACTTTAACAATTGGATTGCATACATATGGAAATTCTATCAAGATTAGTAAATATGCAGATGGTTTGTATGATATCACCATGGCAAATATAGCACTCGATAGGCCTCTGATTATCAATATGAATCTAAATAGAGCAGAATTTCACAATTGTGAGGTGTCTAATCATCTGTCGTTACTTGGCAGAAAGTGCAATAATCTAGTTTTGACTCAGTTCAAAAACCGTTTAAACCTTGTTGGCATCTCGTCGATCAGAAAATTAGAAGTGATAAATCTCAACTTGGTAACTAATCCGCATCTTTTATCCATTCCTGTTGAGGAATTCAGAGCAGAGGACATTACTATCGACCAAAATATAACATTCTGCTCCTGTACCAAGAAGGTTAGTCTGAAGTCAATTTATAAACTTGGTAATGAAAACATAGTTATTACGATAAATAATGGCTGCGAAGATATTAATATTGATAATTGCTATGTCCCGGTCAATATTACAAGCGTTGTAAAAAATAATACAGCCGATTACTTTATAATGGCGTTGTTGGGAACTTGTTGTCACTTAACCAGCTGTTGCCCAAAAGGCCTTAGCAAGCTTAAACTTAAGAATATTCGACTTGGTGATACTTACAGGATCGAAAAAGATGTTAATTTCCTCTCGCTTTCGCATATTGTTCCATATAGATCTTCGAGGTTGGTGCTCAATGAAAGTTTGGAGAGTCTACAAATTCAGAACTGTTATGTGGACATCGATACGTCAAGGGTGAAGAAGCTGAAGGCGTTAACACTGACCGAATCATCCTCGTTGGTCTATGATCCAGACACGCACAGCTCCATGATTTACATCAACATACTCGACATGAAAATAAGCAGCAGTGTAACATTCGCTAAAAGTCTTGCTACCATCATCTTATACCAAGTGGAATTAACTAGAAGATCGATAGTCACAATCAACAAAAACGTATCACAGCTCAGCATTATCAAATGTAGTGGAACCGTTGACATGCAGGGAGTGGCCGGTTTCAATGTAATTAGATGTAACAAAACCAACATACTCCAACTAAGGAAGTTAAAGAGTATCAACGACCGGTACTCATTGATTCTTGAGAGTTTTTGTTTTGAGAACGATGTCAGACTCGCAGACAATATCGAAACTGTTTGTCTGCAATATGTAGATATACTGCCTGATCGTAAATTAATATTAGGGCAAGGTTGTAAGTGTCTAAAGCTGAGTTCCTCCTGTGTCGAAGTCGATTTCTCTCGGTCAGCTAATTTAAAAAAGGTGATCTTGAAAAATATGCCGTTGTACCTTAAGGAAGTGTTTCTGAAGGCACCGGTCACGATTGATACCATTATAATCCAAGAACTTGAGATAAAAGATAAGATCGAGTTGCCAAGCAATATACGAGTTGTTGTTTTACAGCGTGTAAAGTTTTACCTAGTGGAAAGTTCACTACCAACAGAAAGTGCCGAGAGGTTGGCATGTTGTACTGTTCTGGAACATTCAATCTTTCCAAAATCGAAAAACTTGAGTCGCTGATGGTGATACCTAGGCTAGAAAGTATTTCATCCACCACAATTAGCTTCCCATCACTTGAAAACGTTCGTAAATTAGAAGCTGCTTGCAACTTAAATAGTGGTAACCTACGATACCTGTTATCTAAATGTACCAATGTCAAAGAGCTAGTGATTTACAGCTTAAACTATTCGAAAACAATGGATTATGTTCCCTCAATATCTACTATGTTAGATGCTACCCACGATTTTCTAAGACACGATATGTGGTTAAAGAGCAGTTTTGCGAAATACGAATGCAGGGCATGTAGAAAGTCTATGAAAAAAAAGGTCGAAATCATAAACAGAATGACAAATATTTTGTTGCGCGAATCTTTCGATCATAGCATAAGGAACAACTTAACGAGTCTGACTTTGGCTAGTTGGGGGTTTGACGAGAAAAACATTGTGTTGCTGAAAAATTTTTATAATCTGCAAACACTCATCCTTGATTGTGCCTTTTTCAACAATAAAATAATTGAAAACTTGCCAGATCGGCTCGAAACACTCGAAATAGTTGCGAAACAGAACTTTGCAGAGGCGAATTTTCGTCTAGTAAATTTTGATCCAGTCGTACTGAAAAAGCTGAAGGAACACAAAGGAATAACAAATTTGACACTTGCTGGTTGGTTTCTGACAAATACCCGCATTTTTGATTGTTTACCGGTTAACTTGCTAACTCTAAAAATCATGTGCTCGTCTTGGGTTAGCAGCTTAACCCCTGAAAATGTCGTAGGGACAGTGATTATTAAGAAATTGATTCTTGGGCTGGATGATCCGAATTACTCCATACCAATTTACATCGACACCAATCCAATGAGAAGGCAATACTACATGATATTCAATTTTCTTAGGAGCTTCCTCGATTTTGAGAGTTTAGAGGAGTTAGCTCTTGAGACAAGGGATGAGTTAGTAAGCATTGATAAGGTGACATATCGAATTAAGTAAAATCAAAGTTATTTTCATTATTTGTAGATTGTATCTTGGTGGTGTGATGGGTTTGATCGTCCGTGACAGTTGATCTAATCCATGTATTCGTAGTAAATGGCATAAAA